TCACAGCGCGATGTTTTCGTCGCGCTGTGATGATGTCAAATGCGCGCTTTCGTCGAGCGCGATTTTGTCCTCCGCGATTTTGTGGTGGAACCATTTAGGTGTTGGAATTTCTTTCTTCATCAAGTCATCAGATCCAATCTTGTTATCAATGCAAAATAGCCCAATAAAGCATAGATTTTGTTAGCTGAGCTTCATTTGGAGCCTTCTGTGTCTAAACTAGGCTCTGCTGCGTTGTCCTTTGGTCATTGCACCCGATATATGTACATCATTCTCATATTATTCTATGCCTACAGTACCAGGAAGCAGAACTCCTGAAGCATTTGGCAGGAAAGCGGGAACATGAGCGGGAGGTCATCCAGAAAGCCATCGAGGAGAACAACAATTTCATCAAAACTGCCAAAGAGAGGCTGATACAGAAAATGGAGTCCAACAAGGAGAATCGAGAGGCACATTTAGCTGCTATGTTGGAACGTCTTCAGGAGAAGGTGAGGGGTCAACGCTAGTAAGGATGGAGATGGAAGGTGTGGATTGCACTGGATCAAGGCATGTGTGCTAGACTACAATGCATGTGAAGAAAAACAGGATGGCTCCTCTTTCAGGATTTTTATCTTCAGTTCAAAGAGCTGATAGCTGCTGAAGATCCATCAGATGTACCTTGTATGAACCCAGTAATTGTGTTTCTATGGAAGCCAACTAGATGTCTCTAGGCACATGATAGCCTGTTTTTCTTTCACGGTTATTGATATCCAGAGATGTGCAGAGTCTCAAGGAGATTGATGGAAGCCATGGGACTCCTATGCATGAACATCATGGTGGCCTAGAGGTGGAGCTCTCACCTCACAATCAGGAGGCTGTGAATTCGATCCTAGTGGCAGATATTTCTCTCTCTGGGCGCAAAGAGAAAATATCTGCTGTGAGCTCTGCATAGGTGTCAGGAAGAGCATCGGGGCAGTAAACGCTCAGTTCCATTCAGTCACCCTGATTCCACCCCAGTGCAAGGGATTACAGGGTAGTTAAAAGGGGAAAAAATGGGAGTCCTATGCATGAATTTGCCTATCCCACTAAATTGATGACTCTAGCCACATCTTGTGATATCTTTTTTTTTTTTTTAAAGGATAAGCATGCTGAGGAGGTCCGGAAGAACAAGGAATTAAAGGAAGAGGCCTCAAGGTAAAGAGGCCTTCAAGCAGATAACAATTTGGACTGACAGCTCCAAGGAAAGATGGCAGCAGGCGGCAGTACATGGTGGAGGCTGCCTTAATGCAAAGTGTTGACTGAGGAACTGGGACTGTCCTCTGCTTTCGTTGTTTGTGAATGTAAAGAATTGATGGGAGAAGCCATCTCGTGTGTTTCAGGGAGGGAGGGGGACATAAGGGGAAAAGGAAGTTGTGAAGAAGAAATGTTCGTATCTGGGGAGGGAAGAGGGTGGGCATGGATGAGAAGACCCCCCCCCAAACAATGAGATGATTTGTTTTTTGTTCCCACATGGGTCCTTCTGAAGACGGAATCCAAATACAGGAGGGGTGGTAAGAATACTAATTTTGGAGGGAAGTATTCCAGAAAGGGTGGGGGTGGGCTGGGTTAATGAAGAAGAAAAGGCAATCTAATTTGGTGATGAGCCCAGAGCAAGCAGAGGAAGTAAAATCACCTCTGGGGTGAGTGTTGTCTTGTGTGTTTTGCCATTGTTAGTCTCCCCCGTGTGATAAAAACAGCCCTCGTTTCTGTATCCCTTTGTAACTTTCCATCGTGTCTCTTAACTCCAAGGTATTACAAGCCTGATATTGCTTAACTAAAAGTGGCTGGGGTGCTGATTTTGACCTCACAGGCCTCTGTTTTAAAAATAATTGTAACAATAAATGCCTTTTGCCAGAGATTCACCATGGTCAGCTATGGATATAATTTCCCCTGCTTTTCCATTCAGATCTGTAGGGGAGACCCAGGTTCTTTGAAGGATAATGAGTTTAGGACAAATGAAACATTATTTCCTTGGGATAGTAATAAAAAAAGAATATTTGTATGGATACTCTCTCAAGTAGAAGCTATGAAACTATGTGATAAAACAAGCAGAAGCATGATTTAAACACCCACCCCACCCCCTGACTTCAGAACATAAACCTATAGACAGACAGGGGAGGGTTTCTTCTAGCATTACCGCTGGTTCAGTGCGCACACAATTTTGTGCATGGGCCTGACACGTACTCAGCGCACACGCAGTTGCCTATAAATAGGTCTGTGCATGCGCAGAACATTTTAAAAGGTGGAAAAAAGTTGTTGCGGGAAACGATTCGGGTGTGTGGCAAGCATGCCGTCCCTACCGGTTCAGAGACCCAGTTGCCATTTCCACTACCGGTTCCACCGAACCAGTGTGAACCAGTAGGAACCCACCTCTGCCTATAGATCTTTATATGGCTAAGAATGAATTTATTCTGAAAATGAGACTTTGAGATTTCAGAATTCTTTCAAAACCTCCCCTCACGTCTACACATTGGTTAGCATTTTCTTTAGTTTTACAACATCCCCCTTTAAGAAGCTTGTTTGATAAACTGCTTTTAGAAAGAAAAATCATCTTTGGAATAATATTTTGCATTTGATAATGTAATATTTAACATCATTTTTAAGGAATACACTAATAAGGCAGGGTTAATAAGGCACTGTGAACAAATGATCAGCCATACAGCTGATTTGGTTGTGGAAAAACAATTATAACAGAGAGCAATATATGAATGACAAAATGGTAGGACTAAATAAAGTTTTTAAATTCTTATTGCTTTTCAGTGAAGAGTTAAACACCTTATCTCTACTTCCCATTCTTAAGAAATTCTACAGTTATATTTATTAGATTCATGTGCTACTACACTATTGTTTCTCAACCTGGGTGGCTTTAAGATGTCTGGACTTCAACTCCTGGAATTCCCCAATCTGCACAACTGAAGGCACAAAGGTTGAGGAGGTGCTGTGGCTCAGTGGTTTAATGATGCTGGGGATAGTCTTTGCTTTAGTGGTTCAAGTCCTAGCACTGTGTGATGGGGTGAGCTCCCATCACTCACCTCAGCTTCTGTTTACCTAACAGTTCTATGCAAGTAGATAAATAGGTACCACTTTGGTGGGGAGACGAATTGGTGTTCCATGCAGTTAGTCAAATGCCTGCTGGCTTCCTAGTTGCGGCACCTTTTTATGAGGCGGGTCTGGGGAAGAGAGAGGGCCTAGGATGGCGCTTCAGGAACAGCTGCTCATCTTTCTTTCTGGTGCAAAGCCAGCTCGCTCTCCTCTGGCACATCTTGGGAAGCACATGAGCATATCCTACAACACAGCTGGTAAATTGGCAGATAAATTACTATTCTGCAAATGTATTGTGGTCTCCTAGCTAACATAACAATGCCATACACTAACAACAACAACAGCAAAAACAACCAGGATTGGGAAACATTATGCTATACATTCCCCCAAACGGTACTCTATTCTTTGGAATAGCGTTGAGGTGTTCCTGTTTGTAAGATGCTGGATTCCTGCACATTCTGAAGCACAATTTCTGGATGAAATCTGAAATATGCACAATCCTAATATTTTATACTACAGTATAGGCTCCCAGTTTTTGTGGTCCTCAAACAAGAGGACCAGTGTACAAATAAAATAAGAGATGAGGCTAAGTTGGTGAAAGAAATGCTTAAGTTTTCTCTAAATTTCAAATAGAAAGAACATAGGCTGATTTTGTAACCGTAACTTGGCTAAAATATTGTCTAATTTGTAAGGTTTGAGTGTAGTCACGTTTATCTTTCCTAATGTTTGGTTTGGTTTGGTTTATTAGATTTATATGCCGCCCTTCTCCCAAGGACTCAGGGTGGCGTACACATAATACAAAAGTTTTAAAAAAATTAAATAGAATATCCCAAACAAACCCAGTTAGAATTTACAACATTTTTTTAAAAAAANTTTTTTTTTTTTTTTTTTGCTTTATAGTCTTGGGAAAATAATAAATGTGAGGATTGGTCATAAATTACTTTACCATCACCACCATAATTCTAAATGGTTGCCAAACCAAACAATCAATCAGTCTGCACTATATGCACAGGTAAATATTGACTGTTGCAGGGAATAGTGGAATTTAGTTTTTTATTTTTATCATTATACACAATCTAGAGTCACATTTTTACAGGTGCTTACTAATATAAGTAGGTAAAATAGTGCAAAAGGAAACCAAGTGTTCTATGTAAGTTTTCTAAACAATGTCTGATTATATTTTGCTAATCATGTTCCTCAATTCCATTCATTTTTAAGTGAAGAAAGAGAATAGCTCACAGAGTTGCTGTTTTAGCTTTTAAAAAAAAATAGTTTGCTCTGTTCTGAAGTTTTTGTAACTCTAGAAAGACAGACTTGGAAATGCAGAATTGGGGCCCATCAGCCTATTTTAAAACTGTCCTGTCTAGGCATGAGCAAGAATTAAGCAAGACTAGAGTATCCTGACTTAATTCCTTAGTTATAAGAAACCTAACAAGGGATATTTCAATCCCTGCTTTGATTAATGTATGTATATTTGTGTGAGTGTGTGTGTATATATAACAGAGAGGCAGAAAGAGAGGGAGAGGGAATAGTACTAAGCATTCTATTTTGTTTTCTTTTTCCAGTATTCCATGATTTCTATGACAGAAGAAAAAATGCAAATCTTAAAGAGGAAAAGTTCACGTTTCTTTTGAGCACCACACAGTTATACCTTGGAATAATTTACATTTTATAAAGCCTACAGATTGCTTAAAGTGTAAGACAATTTTGGGTGTCTAAATGGAGACATTGCAATTACCTAAACCAGAAGGACAGCTTTGGTTTTAAGTATAATAGTAACATTCCAGAGATAATTTCTCTGTATTAGAGCATTACAAAATGCCCAGAATGAAACACATAATACCTGTACGAGGACCCATTGAAATGAACTCACAGAAGAAGAATTTAAAGCAAAACTGTTGTTCATTTCCAAGATGCAGCAGCCGAAATACAGGTGGCCATAAAGGTCAATGCAGACTAAAAAGGTAATGTGCCAAGATTTCATTACAATTGCCAGTGAGGGATTTCTTAAACTAGTATCCTAAAGGCAAGTTGTTAAAAAGACAAGTTTTTACCTCCTTTTCCCCCCCTCAGCAAAAATATATAGATCCGTGCTTGATTTCTATTTTATTGTCATTTTTGTTTAATATGGAAGCCGTAAGGCACCAATAGAAGGGAATATTTTATAGCTCAGGGTTGAACTGTGGGGTCCTGGATGCTCTGCACACTGATGGTGTTATCTAGTTTGGTCATCAAATGTCTGCAAGAAAACAATAGCAATATAGCAATAGCAGTTAGACTTATATACCGCTTCATAG